CAGGAACCGGAAATTACACAAAAAGGGAAGCGTAAGAGAAAACTTGCGCACGAGATAAAGGCAGAAACCCAAGACGAAACTGTGGTAGTCGATACTCGGGTAACAAAGTCGGCAAAGAAAAACAAAAAGGAAAGACCGAAGAGTAAAGCGAGCGAAGTAGACGCCAAAACAGAGACACAAATCAAAGACGAAACCGTGATCATCGATACCCAGGTAGCAAAGCCGTCAAAAAAAAAAGTTAAAAGAACAAAAACTGAACAAACCATTGAAATGAGCGCCACCTTTGCCACGCGGCTCACAAATGTGACAAAACTTCTCGGGGCTCACGTTAGTATAGCCGGGGGTGTACATAATGCCGTTAACAACGGTCTACAGATAGGGTGTGTAACAAGTTTGTTTCTTTTTAATCTTTATTACGCGTACTTAAGTATTCGGCGTCGGCATAAACCATGACGTTTTTTAGTTATAAATTTCTATACCGCACAGCGCAAATGCTTTTGCTATTTTTCTCAAAAATCAACGAAAATGGGACAGCGCACCTATGACAGCTGATCAGATAGCCTCTTTTCAATCGGCTTGTAAAGAACACAACTATCCTGCCCACTGCATACTTCCACATGGTAGTTATTTAATCAATCTGGCTAATCCTGATGCACAAAAACGAGAGAGAAGCTACCAATCGTTTCTTGATGACATAAAGAGATGTGAGGATTTAGGCCTTTTGCTCTACAATTTCCAGTAAGTTTACAAACAATAATTTTCGCGTGCAATCTCTTTGATATGAGTTTCACCGGATAATCTTTCATTGTCTAGTCCTGGCTCGACAGTAGGTAAATGTACGATCGAGCAATCGATAGGGCATATCGCTGATTGCATCAATAGAGTTCATGAGGAGACATCCAACATTGTTTGCGTTCTTGAGAATATGGCAAGTAGAGATATTGCACGCGTTATTACTATTGCCATTTGAAATAACGATTTGATCTTTGATTAGGCGGGCGCTGGAAATGTCGTCGGATCAAAGTTTGAGGAACTCGGAGCGATTATAGCTAAGGTTATAGGTATGCTCGAACGGCCTTATCAGGCTAATCATTCTTTAGTTGTCGTATTTAAATAACTATTGACTTTTATGAGATTAGATAAGAATCGTGTTGGTGTATGCATCGACACTTGTCATACATTTGCTGCGGTAGGGTGTCTTGGGTTATTGCCTGACTCTATTGTTACAAATCTTCTTGACTAACTGATATTGGTACAGGGATATGATCTACGCACGAAGTCTGCTTATGAGAAGACAATGACCGAGCTCTTCAAGCATATAAATCCGAAATATCTTCGGGGAATGCATTTGAACGACTCGCTATCTGAATTAGGATCCAATCGTGATCGTCACGCTAACATAGGGAAAGGTCATATTGGTCTTGAAGCTTTTCGACTGATCATGAACGATCATCGTTTAGATAACATTCCTTTAGTTTTAGAAACACCAGTAGGGTCTGATGACGTTTATGCACAAGAAATAGAATTATTATATAGTCTTGTAGGAAAAAAAGAAGGCGACGTTACAATCAAACGAGGTTAGACTTTAATCCGCAAAGAAAAAGTCAACAACAGCGGAACTAGGATTTAGCTAGTCCTGTCAATTATCATTAGATATGAACATGATTTCATGGGTTATTCCGAAATTCAGTTACCCATGCATGTCGCTGTGGCGAATACAGCCGACATTCTATCGCAAAGAATACTGGTTGTATATTCAGGAATCGCAGCAGATTAAATAATTTGTTACTTTTTTCCAAAACCAGAGTCAAATGAAAAATGTTCGTATTTGGACTTTAAACGGAGTTTTCTATAAGCCGATTTATTTATAATAAAGATACATATATGCGTATAAATTATTTGTGGTGAGACTTTCAAGCATTTTTAACTTCAAACTTTTTTCCTCAATTGTTTTAATAATAATTACCATTACTAATGCACAATATGTATTAATATGAATAAATACTAATGATAGGTAATTGATAAACAACAATAACAATTGCTCCTGAACTGGCTTGCCTTTTAACTAATTAATCACTAAATCAGTTCCTTTAATAATTAATAATGTTCTTGTTGATGTAAAAATTCGCATGTTAAAGCTGCAGCAATGTGGCATACTAAATTAAAATAACTAAAATGTTATTTTTAAGACATTGAAAAAGGTATGTTTAACTTGATAACTAACTTTATTTATGTAAACAAATGATACTTAAAGTCTTTTCAAAAGAGATGATATTTAAAAAGTTCGCCAGTTTCTACTACTTTCTTCGCGGGAGCCAGAGAACTGACATTCTTTACTAATCACTTTGCCAAAATTGCAGAATTAGAATTTTTTACAGTAAAAAAATTAACGGCCTTAGTCAACCACAGCTTGAATTTAGCAAACACTTATCAAGTCACAGTATACTTTGTGAAAGCGCCGTATGATGGTTCATTTCTGCAATGACTGCTTCCTTGTGGTCTTCTTTTTTTTTTTGCATTGTTGTACACTTTTGTAAAGTGTAAGCTCTTTGCCAAAATTCATTTCGTGCAAGCAGAACTATTTATAACTCCAGAGCTTGTGGTATGATTCCCAATATTAATAATTGGCTGAGGCTACAAGATGGATTTCTGATACATATTTCTCATGTCGCCTCATATATTGTATCAATCGCAACAGAAATCTATTCTTGATTCAAAGTATCAGCATTCCGATTGTTCTGAAACCACAGCTTCAATGAATTAAAAGCAACCTGATTACACTTGAGCCGTTTATGACCATAAAACGCCCCATAGAAACCTATCGTCATTTCAAGCATTGCATCGGTACGCGTCTATTGGCTATCAAATCGCGTGTGCCACTCTCATTCCAAAAGATTCGTTTCTTTACACTGTTCGTCATATAGTTCGGTCTCAATCATATCTTCATAAACTTTAGCCATTTTTGTTTCTGTTTACCGGTCTTCTAAATGTCATTTGCTATATTCATACCATTAGTTCCGTTATTCATTAGAATTTCTGATGGCATTCCTGCTGTGCAAATTGTAAACGTTTTTCGGTCTCTCGAAGTTCGACCAATAGATCAGATGAATTATATAGAATCGGATCAAAATTTTTTGTTTTTTCTTGAGCAAAAGCCTATAAGTGTTTATGAAAGTGACTCATAGAAATGATTCGGTTGTAATGTCTTTCACATAACAAATAAAATTTTAAAGAAAATAAAAGTTGGCAAGCTCAAGTATATAAAGTGCACTCACTTGACAGTTTCCTGGTTGCTCGCATGCTACCAGACTTGCGTTTTCTTTGTCTCGTAGGATCTGAGGAAATGCGGTTTAGTTAGTAAATTCAAATTTTTTATTTGCTATTACTTAACAGTTTTTAATTTTTCGCAACAAGTTGATTATGATTGATATTATAATTTATTTATAACTGACCGTTTTAATTTGTATTCGTAACTTACACCGCAGTAATTTCCACATCCCTCACTAGCTGTTACTATTACCCCTTACCCCTAATTGAAAATTTTTTTACTCCGACAAACCAATTATGACAATCGCAATATTGTGTTATTATCTCCTGACTGATAATAATTTTTCCTCCGAAACGTTTCACTGATATTACGTCCTAATACTTTTCTAATAGATGTAAAGACTTATTGGTGTTATCATCGTTACCGTAAAGAACGAGTTTTTTATGTACGAATTATTATATAAGTAGCATTACTATATTATACCGAACAACCATGGTTGGA